TTTTTCTATAGTTCCAAGGTGAAAGAACAGAAGACTGTAACATTTATGTTTTTCTCCAGGAAAAAGAGACTGTACTCTCCCTGTAGAGAGGGAGTTTGTCTTATATATCTTATATCTACTTCACATATGCCTTCTGTATAACAATCACTAAATATATACCTTGCCTATGCTATCTCATGCTAATTTTATGACACCGAGCAAGCAACCTACACTGGCTGTTTCTGCTTCCTTATCTGTTTCATTCTTTCTTCAATCTGGCTTTTAACCCTGCATTCTCCTGAGCCTACTCTTGCTAACAGACCTTCTAACTGCCACATCCAGTGGATACTTCTGTTCTCTGTGGTACTGTCTGCTGTCCTCCTTCCCTCATCTTTCACTCATGCTTCCATGCCTCCACGCCTCCACGCTCTCCGCGCCTCCACGCTCTCCGCGCTCTCCGCGCCTCCGCGCTCTCCGCGCCTCCGCGCTCTCTTGGCCTCTGTGTGGTTCTTCCTTAGTCTCCTCTTTATGCCCTCTTCTACCACCTCACCAAAGTTGGTAGTCCCCAGAATTATAATTTATCTTCCCTTCCCATCTCATGTATACCTTCCCTAACATGTTCATCCTTACCTGAGACTTTGACTGTACTCCTGACTCCCAATCTACATTTCCAACTCTCACCTCTCTCCTGAGCCTTGGTCCTGTATCTCCAACTGCCCTACTTGAAAGCAGCACCACCAGGGCAGCCTCTGAAGCACATAAACTTAATTTGTGATTTCTTCTTCACCCTCCCAATCTGGCCCCTCTCCTGAGTTCTTCATCTTAGTTCATAACATCACTGTTAACCCAGTCATCCAAGTTAGGAAAACTTAAATTCATTTATAATCCATGAAACCATGAAAAATTATCTTCTAAAAACCTTAAAGAGAGCACTTCACACTCTCAAATAAAGACTTCCATTGCCCAACTACTGACTCTCAGCAGAAGAGCACCTTCTTTGTCTTCAGCATGAAGCACCAGGCCTAATCAACTCCGACCCACTTCTGGCAGATCACCTCCTCCCACATCCCCAGGCTACCCTATGCTTGAGCCCCACTGGACTATTTACAGTGTGAGATTCTTTCACATCTCTAGTCTTGCATATGCTGCTGCTGACACCTACAGCAGTGATTCTCAACAGGGCACAATTTTGCCCCTAGGGGACATCTGGCAATGTCTGGGGACACTTTTTGATTGTCACACTGGGAGAAAGGGGTGTTACTAGCATTTAGTGGGTGAAGGCCAGGGATGCTGTTAAATATCCTACAGTGCACAGGACAGCCCCCACTACAAAAGTGTCCAGCCCAATATAATAATGCTGAGATGGGGAATCCCTGCCCTAGAATCTCTTTGATTTCTGTCTGATGAACTCTAGTTTACCTATCAAGACTCGGTTCAAATGCCACCTCCTCTGGGAAACCTTCCTCTACCAACCAGGTCCTCTCTCCAGATGAATAATGTCACATCTTTCTACTTTTCCATACACACCTCTATTTAGCACATCACATATTAGACTGAAAACTTTTATGTTTACCAGCATGTCCCTATTACCAGAATGGGAGGTCCTCTAAATAGAGACTGTATTTTACTCATCTTTTATTCTCAGTGCTTGGGACAGGGCCTGGCACTCAAATGTGTACTGGATGAATTAAACAAGACACATCTACAGAGAAAACAAAATATTTTCAAGCAAACAACTCAGCACTCTGAACCTGTCTGAAATTAATGATTCCTCAGTTCTAAGAAATATACATGTACAAATATACATTTTTCACCAACTTTCTAAAACTAGTCATTAACATTATGGCATCACATTTTAGAATATTTATAAATTACATTGGTTTTTATAAGTGCTGCTCAAAATAAATTTAACCAAATCTCTCTAAATATTCTGCTAAATTTAGTAAAATAGGGACTGGAAAATAATGGAACATTAAAGTAAGTATATATTTAAAACATCTATTTTAGGAAGAACAATTAAATAAGAAAATACTGAAATGTATAATCTTGAGATCAGTGTTAAAGGCTTTGAAATAATTGAGACACAAGTTTATTACAGTTCTACTATACTAGAATAGTAGCAATTTACCTATTTAGGATTAAGTTACAGATAATGAACAAAAACTTTTATAACAAAAAGAAAAAAATGTAAAAAATAATTCTAATGAAAATACGAATATAAGCAAAGAATGGAAGACATTCAAGCTTGGGCAAAATGCTAATGCACATTAAATAATAGGGTACTGAAATCTCTGAGCATCCTAACAACATAACATAGGAGATTCAGAAAATAACAGATGGGGGAAATAAAATAACAGTAGAGAAAACTAACTACTATATAGATTTCAAAATCTGAATAGCAATCATTTTTATAACTGTATACGTAGTACCTTAGTTCCTTAACCTGCTTCTTGATTGAACTGCCAAAATATTACACATACTGTTAAAATATCAAATATTTATTTTCAGATCAAAAGTCATTATATAGCCTTTACAAAAGTAATATTGTATTTCAAAAGGCATACATAATAAACATATGCCAGTCACTGTTATGTTGTTTGCTATGCCTGAAATAAACATTATGCAGACAGACTACAAAGTCTCATCTTCACTCTAAGTTGTAAACACAGAACACAGACAGTGTCCTGGATACAGGTAAAAGTTCTCACTAGATTTAAAAACTCAGTCATTAATGAGCTGTTGATTATAGAAAGCTAGAAACTCAATCTTATACTGCTAGAGACTGGTAGCTAAACATATAAGAAAAGAATGTGTAGACTCTCAGTGCTTTAGAAACCAGGGTCTCTGACCAAAGCAGTGATTTAATTTCACGACTGCTCAGTACAGATAGCTGACATTACCAAATGCTACTCTAATATCAACTTGTTAAATGTGAATCCAGACTCAGCATATCAGAATACTAACCCAGACTAACTGGAGTCATGGGAAATATTTTGGGAGCTGTTTATTTATAAATGAGTTACAATATACCACTATAATTAGATTAATATATAATTATTGATAAACACAGGATTATTTCTAAAACCCATCATTGTTGCCACTGCTATATTTAGAAAAAGCAACACTAGAATCTTCTTCATAAAACAAGCCTCGATTTATCAATTAGATCTATTTAGATATAGTATAAATTAAATTTAACTGTCACTGTATGGTTTACAATGCTTTTATAAAGAGAAGTCTAATAAACATTAAAAGGGGGACAATTTAAATCTCCAGCAAACTGCACACTTCTGAACTACTTTATAATCCAATAATCTACCAAAAGATAGAATCTGCACAAAGTTGTACATTTGATTGTTACAAAAAATATTTAAGTTAGCTTACCTAAGCATAAATAACCAGTAACAATGGATATTTTTAACAATGCAAAAGGCATTTGATCCACATTTCATTAAAAAACACATTTAAAATACTCTTCTAAAAAGCATCCACAACAAACTCTATTACCATAAAATAAACTATTTTAAGGTGTTTCTATAAATATTTATACATGAATTACTCCTTTCAGGTTAATTATTTCGTTACGTGTAAAAGAAATTTATAAGTAACATTAATTCAATTAGCATAGTACTAATGTTTCTTCTCAGTGCCATTTCATTTCTTCCTTTTAGGAAGAAAAATGGTTGATTGGATTATAATCTCCTAAAAGCTGGTTTTAGAAAAGTTTCCTAAATGGAATTAAAAATTGTAAAATATAGATCAGAATTTGAAATCTGATCTTTTTTTATCCTAGTAAAGTAGTGGCTTATATTAACATCAGGGCATTGGTAACAATTGTTATATTTACCAGATTTCAGAAGAGAGAAAATAAACTAGCAATTACTATTTTATTCACCTAAAGCTACTTATCTAGAAGATTTTTTAAAAAAAATCTTTAATAAACATATTGGATGTTACAAAAACACAGATAAACAGATAAGGTTCCCCCCCCCCAAACTATTATGTACTGTCATGTAAAATTGCTTTAGTTAGAAAATTTTTTAAATTTCTTGGAATCTGGCAAAACATTCCAAATACAGAAATTTTAAAATTCTATTTCAGTTCAAACCATTTTAAATACTTTGGAAAGGCCAAATTACATAAAGAACTTTTGGCTAAGATTCAAAAGAGTTAAATTATTAATATAATAAAGTTGAACTGTCAAAAATGAAAAGGTAAACAGAAAATTGTGGGAAATGCCTAGCAATTTAAACCAAATTCAAAAATATTAAAACTTAGAATTCAATATTGTTGAGTGAGTGAGTTACATTTTAAAAGGCAGTATTAACTCGTGGCTCAAGAAAAATAGGGTGGAAACAAAATTCCATAGTTAAGGGTATATACAAATGCAAATGCCATTTATTTTTCCTCTGCTTTAAACATGCAGCATAATAGTTTTTATGAATGCTCTTATCAATACATGTATTTTAGAGATATAGTTCCTCTATGATAATTTATAACAAGATCTTCACATTTTGATACACTTCACACTTTGATCTTCACACTTTGATATTAAATATTTGTTTAATATTTTAAATAAGCATTCTAAATTTTACTCTATTTCACAATGATTAAGAAGGGGAGAAACCAAAATGCTGGTTTTGAAAATAGGAATAAAATACTGAGCTACAAAATAGAATACTATACCATTTAAAGGAAAAAGATACCAAGATAAAATCTTATGAAATAGACTGTTATTCAAAGTTTGTTTTTATGTTGTAGAAAAGTTTTACAGCTTAAATCACTTAGGAAGATTTTTAAAAATACACATTTTGTACATTGGTAAAATAACAAATACAGTAAAAAACTATACATAGGGTTCTTCAGATTTACAAATATAAAATGTATGACTACAAAGTACTGCTAGCTAAGGACCAGGAAAATATATAAAACTGCTTGGTTATAACAATAAATTTTCTCCAAATATTTCATTAAGTTATTCTCGTGTAAATTAATATTTACCAAGATCAAAGGAAACTTACCTTGCAAGAATTAGACAGTTCATTTGTGCAATCTCTGTTGCTGTCTCTTGATAAATTATCCACTTTACCTTCCTTTCCAGATGCAAACTTTATGAGTAACTGAGATGGTCCCCCTTTAGAGCAATTGTGCTTAAGGCTGGATAGACAGGAAATATTTGGATAAGCTCCTCCCAATGAAATACTTCTTTGTAAAATACCATGGTTTTTGTTCATCTGTGAATTTGGTCTTTCCAATTCTCCACTGATATTTATTTGATAATCTACATTTTGGGAGGATGGCAAACATGCAGATGTCCTATGTGTGAGCTTAATATACTCTGAATCAGAATTAAGCTTAATTTTTGACATTTCTGGTTTACAATCACCATTTGTTGTTTCACAATCTAATGTAGTTGTTTTTTGTTGGGTGAAATGCACTGAAACACAAGAATATCCTTCAGATGACTTTTCACAGACAGTCTGTTTGGGAGTATTATTCGAAAGAACAATTTTCTTCTGTAACGAGCCCTTCCTGTGAAGTGGCCGTATGTCTCTTACTTCTCCAGGGGTACAAATTGTTTTAGATAACCGAAGTCCATTGACAGCTGTTGAAAGAAATCCTTTAGCACCAGTGCCATCCTCATTATGTGCAATTTCACTAGGAGAAATAATAAACTGGTGTGAAGTTTGATAGGATCCTTTGCTCAGAAGAGTACATGGACTTGTTGGAGAAGTCGGTGGGGTATTTGAAGGACTCCTAGGAAAAATGACTAAGGAGGAGCAACGTTTTAGTGGAATTTTTGTGTTCCTGCTCACTGGCAATTTCATAATCTCTAACCCATGTTCCAAGTCATCCTGGACAAAAGGATCTGTACTTGTACTTCTCGAAAAAATTTCACATGGAGTAGTATTCCTGTTTGGCACAATTCCACTGGAGGTGCTGTCAGAAGGTAAGTTTCCACCCAAAAAAGTATCATCACTTGGTGGCAACGTATAACTACTACTGTCACTGATGACACTGTTAGTGTATGAACCTCCACTTGTGATACTTGCACATGACCCGAAATCACTACCGTTGCTGCTGTAAGATCCATTATCACTGGTTGAAAAGTTACTAAGGCTACCACTACAAATGGCTGGACTGCTTACAAGGTTACCATCATTCACTGCATTCAATTCACTATCGACCACAGCACTGCTGTAAATACCATTCTTCAAGATACCAGTAAATGAAGCATCATCACTATCAGCTAAGACATTGCTAGACTGAAGATATCCACTGTACCTTGTTGGCTGTAGTGAAATCTGTAGACAGCTGCTCTTTTTATTAACATTTTCAGATGAGGGAACAGACGATCTTTCTTGAGACTGAACGTTTTCCTTTATTAACGGAGCTAGTGCAGTCTGTCTGGGAGTCAGCTTCATTTGAACAACGTTAGACGCTGAAATCCGTGTTGGTCTCTTGAAGCACATGTGAACATGGCTATCCAAGTCATCTCCGGAGGTTTCTGACAAAGGGTAAGTATTGCTTCTTCTGGCTGCAAAGTGCAATCGTAAGCTTTGTGCCATTTGTTCTCATTTCCAAACATGTTAAGGGCTGAAAGTCATAACAAAGATCTCTGTCCGTAGACAGGCTAGAAGCAGCTGCACTGCATCAAAAGAAAAAATCATTTGCGGTGCCTAAAAGAGCTATTAAGTAGTAGTCTTTATCCTAAGTAAAACATTAGATACCAGATATCACAGAAAGAAAAAGACGACCCATTCCAGAGACTGACGTTTCCAAAATGTCTTGAATCGCTTGTAGTCAAAATGCCTTCACTTACAAAGCACTTGATTTCCAGCGACCTTTAAGCTGAGCTCAGCTGCAGCACACTGACTCAAACACAGCCAACCTTGTTTCAATTATACCTTCTCCAATTTGCATGAATGAGTAACACAAGAACAACAATCTTCTAACATTTCATGTTGAAACAGTATTTTTTCACCCCAGCTCTACTAAATGAACATTTAACTATGTGAATCGCAGTGCCTATACTTTCTCCAGCCAACTTTGACCACTAATATTTTTACCCATAGGTATAGAATTACAGGAAGTTGGTAGGAACGAAACCCCATGTAATTAAGTATCAAATCAAAGATTGAATTTCCAAATAGTAGTCATACTAGGAATCTAGTCAAGTTAGTTAATAGAGGGACTGTTCTTTTTTTTTTTTAATTTGTGAATTCAAACAGTTCCGTAAATTTGGAAATACCAAAATTTTAGGATGAATTAAAACTTTAGCACTACATCAAACAGATACATATTTTAGCTTCTAAAGTGCTGATTACATAAAAAGTGAAAGCTTAAGGACAGAACTACAAAATTAACCTAGTAATACCATTGCAAAACTGAAGCATAGGTTCGAGAAAAAAATAAGAGAAGCTGTCACTAAGCATTTTCTCCTGTAATTTTAAGGCCTTTTCCAGCCAAGTAGAACAGTCTTTAAATGATGCCATTTATATTTTGACTATTAAAACTCTGCCAAGAAATAGCCTAAGCAAACATTCCAATAAAAATATATGCAGATTAGAAAAAAAAAAAACTATACCCCAAGATAGTTTGAACACATAGCATATTTTATTCCACTGTCTCTGCAATTCATTCACTTAAGAGAGTGTTGTGGTAAGTAAAGAAGTCTAAAAAGGATTTAACACATCAAATAAACATATCTCAATGCCAATTCTGTTCTGAAAAACTCTAAGAGCTCTTTGCTGGCCCCTGCTGGTGCTTTGAAACAATCCATTTAGCTGTTTGATATCTATAAAGAAATACAAACCAAGCTGTACATTTCTTTATATAAACAAAGTACATACTTGTTTACATTTTTGAGAGCTAGCCCTGCCCTAGAGGTGGAATTACTCAGCAGTGCTGATAAAGCTTCCACAGTAGAGAACAGTGGACTGTTTGTCCTTTTAGAGGTTGTGATTTTGTATATATTTTTTCTGCTTTGTATTTATTTAACCTTTATTTTCAGTTTACTGGGTAATAAAAATTTAATATTTTAATTTCTCTCCCAAATGCCATAGACCAAGGTTGGTATTCTATTTGAAAGAAACAAATATATTTTAAAATAATACTCTAGGGTATATTAAAACCCCTTACCTAAATTTTATAGCTGGAACTCCAGTAATAAATATATACTGGCTCATTCATAGGAAAGTAAAAGGTAAAATAGTTCTGTTGTTTATACCACATGCTACTACACCCAAGTTGTATTTTTCTAAGTAAGTTTTTTTTTCCTAAGTAAAAGCAAATATGTAAAACATATACTTTGTTTTAAAAAAACTGCTTAAGATACATCTGTTTTCGATTAGAATTTTCTAAACATATTTAATCAATTAAAACACAACAAAATAGAATTATGGGAATTTATTGAATTATATTTGACTAGAATGAAACAGCATTGTGTTTTCAAATGTGTACAATAATTGGAAATTTAGTAATACAATTATGATGTTATTTTGGTTTTGTATAACCTATCTCCTTTAAGATTTTACAGACTTCAGTCAATATTCCCTTAACATCTTTTTCTTTTAAATAAGGAGGAGTCCTGTTTTACTCTGCCTTCAAATGACTTCAGCTTTCTTTCTGGGATTAAGTGTGGGGTCTAATAACTCAAAGAATGAATCCCTTCTAATAGGCTAATCAATGAGATCTAATTGTTCATGCCTGTGGCCTACAACTTCCTGGAAATAAGAAAAGCTCCTCTGATTATTAACATATAAAATAATGAGCTCCAAGTATTTGGCCAGATAAATGTCTTCTCTTTGATAAGCTTCACTATAAGCATTAGTTCCATGTCCCCTAACTAGATTTTAACTTTCCAGAGGGCATGGACCATAACTACACAGTTCTTCTGGGGCTCCTGAGCTTGTCCTGGGCACAAAGTAAGTACCAAGAGACACCAGAGAGAAGCCAGGATGGATAGATGGATGGTGTCACCACAGGCACTCTGAATGCCTGACACTTTCTTTCAGGATTTTTGTTATTGTTGTTGTTGAAGTTGATCCAGCTGCCACTTATAAAGAAATATCAAAAAGCACTGCAGGTGGACAAGAAGGAATGACGTTTGAAAAATTTACAGAGAGGGTCTCAGCCAAGGAAAAGTAAGGTAAGAGAATCACATGCACTTCCTAGCACTCTAGTCTGAGTTTAAATTCTAGGGAGGCTGAACAGTTTGCACTGCTGGCTGAGGTCTGAACATAGGATCTATACTGCTATTACAGCAGTTGCATGGGAAATCGGGCAACTTGCTATAAAACGTAATTCCTCAGTCCAGCAAATACCAAACAGGAGTGTTAACCCTAACCTTAAGAGTAGAAGAACCGGAGGGACACGGCAGCCCTCATCTGGAAAGAATCCATGCACGTCCTACATAGAATTGCATATTCTGGAGTGAAACAGATTGAAGCTAAGAACCCCACATTCTGAGCTGTTGGTTACTGATCATCTACACGGAAAATAATGTAATTATCTACATGGTGTGGATAGGCTCTGGGTAATCTTAATCATTGACTGAACTTTGAAGGCCAAAGTCAGCTGCGGCGGTTAATTGTATGTATCAACTTCGATAGGTTATGGTACCCAGTAGTTTGGTCAAACACCAGTATAGACATTGCTATGAAGACATTTAGACATGATTAGCATTTACATCAGTAGACTCTGAGTACCGCACATTACCCTCCACAATGTGTGGGGGTCTTACCCAATCAGTCAAGGGCTTTGAGAGCAAACACAGGTTTTGTAAGAAGAAGCAATTCTGCCTCAAGACTACAATGTAGAATCCCTGCCTAAGTTCTCAGCTTCCTGGCCTGCCCCGCAGATTTCAGATTGCAGTCTTCACTATATACATACATAGTGTGGAAATATATGTATTCATATATTACACATAATTTCATATATAAAATGTATGAAAAATAAATAATACGTAAAATATAAACACAATCTATTGTTTCTGTTTCTCTGGAGAACCTTCATTAATACAACTGCTAAATGTGAGAAGCACAAGGTCTCCACCCAGAATATAGGCAGCTCCTAAAACCGGTGGCTGAATATGTACAGGTGTATGTCTTAGACTGGTGACATAGTGCTAACTTTTGCATTGGTGGGTAGAATTTTTTTAAGGCACATCATTCTGAAATGTTCTGTCATTATTGCCACCACCACCACTACCATCACCATAATGAAACGACTATATTTTAAAACTCTAAGTCTTAAAATTGGCTGGAAAACAATGATATAAGCCTACTCTTTCTTGAAAGCAAATATCACTTATATTGCAAACGTTTTCCAGATGACTAAAGTTGTTTCTGCTTAATATTATACTTGTGTTTTTCACCCTCCATTTTCAAAGAGAAATTGCTAGGAAAACGGTACACTTTAAATTTAGTTGTGAGTGCCTCAGCAGAATAAAGATGGAATGACATTTATAATAACATAGATCACTTGTTGCTATACAATCAGGTCTGTTACTCCACCAATGGCTATAGTTTCTATAACATCTCAAGTCATCTCTATACCTCCCTTACCTGCTGAGACTAGCAACAAATCAGAGGACTAGAATGACACACACCACCCAGCTCTAATTATCTTGGCTCTTTGTTTTGCTAGTAAATCAAGTTTCTCGAGAAAAGCTGTATTTCCCATGCACAGAAGAGCATCTAACACAGTAGATAAACTAAATGGTGTATCTTAGCTAACACAAAATATACCATGTCAGACAGCTACAAATGCGTAAGTCCATGAATGTTAAATAACACTTTATATTTGTATCATGATAAAGAATTTTCCAAGTATTTTCATAGTCACTGTCTCATTTTATCCTCACAACATGCTTATGAGATAGGCAGGGCAAATATTGTTGTCCCCATTTTTCAAATGTGAGAAGGTATTTTTAGAAGGCCTGAATAATTTGTTTAGGGTTACAAGCTAATGCCCCCAAAGAAATGCAGGATTATAATAGAATTTCTTAGTCCTTAGTGTGGGGATCTATAACAACTTTTTTTCCCCCCCGAGATGGAGTCTCACTCTGTTGTCCTGGCTGGAATGCAGTGGCGTGATCTCAGCTCACTGCAACCTCCACCTCCTGGGCTCAAGCAATTCTCATGCCTCAGCCTCCAGAGTAGCCGGGACTACAGGTGTGCACCATCACGCCCGGCTAATTTTTGTATTTTTAGTAGAGACAGGGTTTCACCATGTTGGCCAGGCTGGTGTCAAACTCCTGACCCCAGGAACATCTCCTGATCCGCCCGCCTCAGCCTCCAAAAGTGCTGGGATTACAGGCGTTACAGTATCTTGATTAATGTATTTTGTTTTTTTTCCTTTAGTTAAAAGTTTTAAAAATTTTATTTGTCATATTTATCCATCTATAAATATCCAACTGTTAATATCAAAGGCAATGCTTTTTTCTTCCAACCTATCATGACGCACTTTATAGTATTATATACACAGTAAACGCTCAAGGAATGTTCATTTGCTGATCAGTGTTTGACAAACAGCCGTTCTGGCCATTAAGAAAGAGTCACACCAATACTAAAGTTACTAGCAAAACGGACCAGACCACATCTGTGTGGAAAGCACAGATGTGAGCTGTCCCTCCTTGTAGACAACATGCAAATAACGCAAATAAAATAGTTCACCAATAATACACCCAATGATAAGGCAGAATTCACATCAGTATCAGTGGCAACAGGAAAAATAACAGTAATACCATGATCTGGCAATTCAACTCTAAAACGTATCTCTTAGAGATACACTCAGACATGTACATACGGAGACATAAAAATGTTTATCAATTGGTAAGAGCAACATACTGGAAATAACACTAATAACACTAATATTAAGGAGGTTAAATACATAAATTATAGCATTATGATATTTTCAGAGTATAGAAAATTATGCATCATTGAAAGGTGTCATCACAGATCTCACAAATATAACGTTAAGCAAAAAAGCGTATCAGAGGAATGTCTACAGAGATATACTATTTTTATAAATTAAAAAATATGCAAAATAAACAAGGTGGGTTTTTGTTTTTTGGAGATAGAGTTTTGCTCTTGTCACCTAGGCTGGAGTGCAATGGTGTGATCTTGGCTCACTGCAACCTCCGCCTCCTGGGTTCGAGCAAGTCTCCCACCTCAGCCTCCCCAGTAGCTGGGACTACACGTGCCCACCATCACGCCCGACTAATTTTGTATTTTTAGTAGAGACAGAGTTTTGCCATGTTGGCCAGCCTGGTCTTGAACTCCTGACCTCAGGTGATCCACCTGCCTCGGCCTCCCAAAGTGTTGGGATTACAGGCATGAGCAACCATGCCTGGCCAACAACAATGTCTTTTTTAGGGATATATATGTGTATATATGTGATAAACGTATTTTAAAAAGCAAAGAATGGTAAATACAAAATTGAGGACAGTGGCTACTAGTGGAGGAAGAAAAGGAGATGCTACTAAGGAGGGATCTAGGGAGGGTTTCAAAGATTTTGGTAATGTTCTAGTTCTTAAGCTGAGTAATAAGTGTGTATATACATAGTCGTCTTATTATTTAAATATTTATATTATGTGGGCTTTTTTGTATGTATATTTCATGATTTAAAAACAAAACACACACAAAACTCCACCAGTATTAAGTTTAATTTGTTTCCATGTAGAAGGGACCAGCCTGGCCAACATGGTGAAACCCCATCTCTACTAAAAATACAAAAATAAGCTGGGCAAGGAGGCGGATGCCTGTAATCCCAGCTACTTAGAAGGCTGAGGCAGGAGAATCGCTTGAACCCGGGAAGCAGAGGTTGCAGTGACCTGAGATTGCGCCACTGCACTCCAGTCTAGGCAACAGAGTGTGACTCTGTCAAAAAATAATAATAATAAATAAAGGAAAACAGATCTATAGAGACAGAGGGGAGAAAAAAGGAAAACATTTTATATTCTTTTAAAAAAAGCAAAAACACAGAAAACAAATAGCTCTGTAACTAACCATATTCGATAATCAAATCAGCAACATCTGTCACTCAGCCTTAAAAATCAGATTACCAGGCTGGGCATGGAGGCTCACGCCTGTAATCCCAGCACTTTGGGAGGCAGAGACAGGTGGATCACGAGGTCAGGAGATCAGGACCCTCCTGGCCAACATGGTGAAACCCCATCTCTACTAAAATACAAAAAAATTAGCCAGGCGTAGTGGCATGCGCCTGTGGTCCCAGCTACTAGGGAGGCTGAGGCAGGGGAATTGCATGAACCCTGGAGGCGGAGGTTGCAGTGAGCTGAGACTGAGCCACTGTGCTCCCGCCTGGCAACAGAGCGAGACTCCAACTCAAAAAAAAAAAAAAAAAAAGCAACAGAGCGAGACTCCAACTCAAAAAAAAAAAAAAAAAAATTAGATTGCCAGCCAGTGAGAGTCTTCTTCGGCAGCAATAATGTACTTTTGCTTACTATGATGTTTACTAAAGATTTCATTGGCAATATCTTTAGTTGCTAGTATAATTATCATTTCTTGAGGGCAAAAAACATGAATGTAGTTTAACACTAAAAACAGACTTTTTTTTTTTTTTAAAAAGCTAGTTTCTTTGTTAGCTAAAAAATGAACAAAACTGTTTTAATTTTTCTGGTGCTTGTAACTGATAAGCTTCGCACACATAACACTGTTTGTATACTTACCTGTTCAAATCTTACAGGTTTAAAATATAAATGTAAGCTGCTAAGAAGAGGGTTTGAGAGTGGATCCTCAGAGACAACATTAGGAAAAGAATAGGACTTTAAGATAGTCTTTAGGAATTCAGAAATCAGAACAATCATTTTATAAAAAGAACATCATGTTTAACTTTGCTTTTTGCTTCTGTAAGAGCTGGCCATCCTTGAGAAAACTTTATTTGCTCATTCCTTATCAGTGTAAAAAGGACAGATTTCCTCTGTAGAAGAGTGGGCATGAGAGAGTGGATAGGATGTCCACTGGATACGGGTAACCCTAAGAAAGACCACTGTAGTAAGGAGGCGCAACTGAAGGATACTCTGGGCGAAGATTCCCAGTGCCATGGACTCGGAACCAGGGGTCATGGACGAGTGAGAGGGAAGACAGCACAAAGAGGTTGATTTTCTGTCCTTTCCTGTCACAAGAGGTCTTCAGTAAGACCTTATAATATGTCGGCAATCAGAAGAGGTGCTTGGGAGGAGAAGGGAAAGGGAGAGAGTAGCACCAGGAGGAAGAAAACAAGTTCTATCTCCCTCACCATTTTGCCCAGAGTCTCCATAACCACCCACAACCCATCTCTCAAATCCCAGATTGCCTACCCACTTCCCCTGGCTGCTGAAACGTACCCTTACTTCACGTATCCTTTCTCCTGAAACGTACCCTTACTTCATATTTCACACAAGCACAATGTAACTTACCAATCGATTTTCGTCAAATACTTCAAAAAGAAGCCGGTGCTGCTGAGGATGAACCTAAGTAAGAAAAACACAATCTTTATTTAAAAACAAGTAAATATCAACCCACAGACACTGAGAAATAAATGCTTAAAGATGTTGCCATTTGATTGAGTGCAGTGGCTCATGCCTGTAATCCCAGCACTCTGGGAGGCTGAGGTGGGTGGATCACCTGAGGTCACGAGTTCAAGACCGGCCTGGCCAACATGGTGAAACCCCGTCTCTACTAAAAATACAAAAATGAGCCAGGTGTGGTGGCATGTGCCTGTAGTCCCATCTACTTGGGAGGCTGAGGCAGGAGAATCGCTTCAACCTGGGAGGTGGTGATGGCAGTGAGCCAAGATTATGCCATTGCACTCTAGCCTGGGCGACATAGAGAGACTCCATCTCCAGAAAAACAAAACAAAACAAACAAATAAAAATATGTTGCCATTTGCTAATGCCTATTATTTGGAATGTATTTTAAATTACATGAAATAAGAGCAGACTAGTCATGTGTCACTCATTTTCTAGTAGTTTCACAATAACAACAAAGTGAATTTGGTTGTTTATTTTTCAGATTTTTCTAATAGAACGAAAGGAAGTAAAAGAAAATTTCAAAAGATTACTTAAATGTTTGCAAACGCTTAAAAATACAGACTAGATTTTGACATCTTATGATCAGTTTTATTTTCTTGCTATTTATCAGTGTAGAGTGACCCAAAGTGGACATTTATTTTTCAGAAACTAGTGTTGTGAATTCTTTTATTATTGACTTAATAAAATCACATGTTGCTTTTACTATATAAAGTACATAGCAGTCAAAAGTATACACTGAGTTTTCACTTAAGGTTTAAATTTTGTAGCACATGAATAAAAATTACAAGCAATATTTTATTTCTCAAAGCCAATGCTTTCGTTCTTGTAGGAATGTTTCAATATCAAAATAAAAATCTATGTGACATCAAACAGAAAGGCAACTTTAATACTTTTTTTGTACCAGAGTTTAAAATGAAGAAAGCATATTCATATTTATGTTGATTTTCCCCTACAATACATATATTATATTGTACACTGTGATAGCTTAAAACATTGGTGTACATGTCAAAAGTATTGACAGAAAAAAGTCCTATACTTGTGACAAAGATTTCTGGATACCTAACTCAGTGTCTACTTTTCCTTCTGAGAACATAATCCTAGTTTTACCTACAGCCACATTCCCAGGCTTACCACACTGCACACCTCTTGAGGAAACCATTAATTTTTGAAAACTGAAGTACAATATATATTCAGTGAAGTATAAAGTATACTAATGTTGGGATGAGGAAGAAAAAAGTATACTAATCTTAACTATACAGCTTGATAACTTTTTACATATGTATATTGTATCATATAAAATATGCATATGTAAAAATACGTATACATAAAAATACATATACATACTATGTATATGATACATATGTATATATATTAAACCCAGATAAAGATATTGAATAATCTGTTCTATTTTATATATATTTTTTGTGAATGGTGCTCTCTGGAATTGTTTAACATGGAGACCCTGAATATGCCTATCTAGAAACTTATCCCTTGTACCTAGGGGCAACCAATGAAGCCAACCTAGTGCCAGTCACTCCTCGGGAGAGCTTTTCAGAGGTGGCTGACTCA